GTAACCAACTAGGAAAATTTTTGCTTTTGGTTTCTGAGACTTTACACTCTATAGGTTTGGAAGTTTTGGTTTCAGAGGAAGAAAAAGACACAGCAAACATCTGAATGAATTAGAAGTTAAAACTTCCTTCTGACCATCACGTCCAAGGATTAAAGTCAGTGGGAAACTACAACAACCTAATCCTGACAGGATGACAAATGACTAAGACTTTTCAGGAATGAAGGTATTGGTCATCCCTCTAGGTAAAAAAGCAAGACCTGCTGAAGTATGGGTAAGAGTGGAAGAAATACAAAATGGGTACTAGGCCCATGCTAAGGCCATGTGACCAGCTACAGGACCATGAATGGTGTGTGAATGGCAGTTTGAGAGAAAGGGTTTTTCTGTATAGTTCTGGCTGTCCTGGAACTCAGTCTGTAGACCAAGTTTATCTCAAACTCAAAGATCCACCTGCCTCTGCCTCTGCTGGGATCAAAGGTGTGAACCACCACTGCCCAGCCCAGAACTACGAATTGTAATGTGACCAGTGATAGACTAGTGGATTATTACTGACACTTTTTTGTCTTAATAGTGAAAAATGTTTGTATATACATCTAGTAGATATACGTGGTTTTATTTAATATCATGGTTAGTGTTTCTATTTCTGTGAAAAGATATCACATCCACAGAAATAAAGGAAAACATTTAATTTACTTATATGTTCAGAGTTTTAGTTCATTGTCTTCATGGTGGGAAGCATGGCAACACACAAGCATGCTTGGTGCTGGAGAGGTAGCTGAGCTCTACATCTGAATCCTGAAGTATGCTTTCTCATCAGTTTCTTTATACTACCAACCCTCGAATAAAGACATGAAGACTTACTAATTATGAAAATTCTTAAAACTCAAATTAACCTGTTTCTATTAATCTAGAATCTAGGCACCTAGATTCTAACCCTCTGAGTTCCTCTCTCTTCCCAGAAATCCTGACTATTTTTTCCTGCCTAGCTATTGGCCATTCAGCTCTTTAATAAATCAGTCACAATGACACATCCTCACACAGTATAAACAAATGTCCCAGAACAGGACCCAAAGCAGCAAGGAAAGAGTGCTGCACTATGCATGGCTTGAGCATCTGAGACCTCAGAGCCAACCCCCAGTGACACATGACACACTTCCTCCAACAAAGCCACATCTACTCCCACAAGACCACACCTCCTAATAGAGCCACGCCCTATGAGCCTATGGGGACCATTTTCTTTCAAACAACTACATTTAATGTACCATTAATTGCAATAATATTAACAGTTAAGTGTTGTAAACATACATTGTCATATTTAACTTATAGGACATTAAACATTCCTCAAACAACTTTGTGCCAGTTTGCTGGACAGGGTCCCTGCCGAGGCTTGTAATAAAAAGGAACTTTATTGATTGCAGTTCTGGAGAATCTTTTGTCTGGAAGATTACAGGGTTCTCGTGGCCTGGGCATATAACACGTGGTGGTGGATTTTTGGGGTCCCTCGAACTGGGTATAACAGTACCATAACATAGTAAATGTAACTTGCTATGATAATCATATGAGTTTACAATTAAGAGATTTGGCACTGCCTTTTGGGTTTTGGTGGTTTTTCTGTTTTGTGTTGTTTTGTTTATTGATGTCTTTGTTTTTGAGACAAAGTTTATCTGTTGTTGTTCTGAGTAACATGGACAAGAGAGACTGCAGGATGCAATAAGCTTTGCAACATGGACCGGCTCTTTTATTGTTTGTTATACAAAAGGTCTTTGAGCAAGTCAATTCTTCATACCAAAATCTCTTATCTAACCTAGGAATTGTCTGAAGGAACCATTGCCTAAGCAAACACAGTCACTGTAAGAATCCCAGGTTTGCCAGGAATGTCTTATGACTGAGGTCATGCTAAGGTTCTGAAATTCCCAAGAAAAAGCAACCCCATGAATCTCAGATAACAGCCACTGATTATGTATAAGAGATTACTTCAGGGTCTAAGTAAATGCCAGGCGCAATGACTCTTACAGTTTTCCCTGGCTATCCTGGAACTCATTCTGTAAACCAGGCTGGCCTCAAACTCAGAGATCCACTTGTCTCTGCCTCCTGAGTCTTGGGATTAAAGTCATACACCATCATAGCCAGCTGAGATTTGAGACTTTAAGTATTTGAATTTTTAAGGATTTTGAGGGACATGGTAAAGGAGATTATATTTATAGTATGAAAAACAAACAAACAAACATGGGACTTAGGGGACAAGGTTATAGTTCATAATATTTATTTTTATTACTTTAAAAATATTTATTTATTTATTTATTTATTTATTTATTTATTTGAGCTGGAGAGATGGCTCAGTGGCTAAGAACATTAACTGCTCTTTCAAAGGACCCAGGCTGAATATCCAGTACCCACACAGCAGCCAACAACTATCCTAAATTCCAGCTGCAGAGAAGCCAATGTCCTCTTCTGCACTCTGTAGGAACATGTATAGGGGAAACACTCATATACATAAAAGAAAACTCTTCCAGCTTGTGTGCATCTTAACATCATTCTTATTTTTAAAAGTTTATTTGCACACATCCTTATTCCCAGCACTTGAGAGGCCAAGGCAGGTAGAGTTTGAGGGCAGCCTGGTCTGTGCAGTGAGTTCCAGGTCAATTAGAGTCACATGTTGAGACCTGCCTCAAAGAACAAAATATATACTTATATATGCATTGTATAGGTTTGTGTGCATATGTTGCAAGATACCTGTGTTGTGGAATATTTGTTTACATTGTAAAGATGTGTCTTTGTCAAGGGGCCTTCTAACTGGATTAATAAAGAGCTGAATGGTCAATAGTTAGGCAGGATGTATAGGCAGAACTTCTGGGCAGAGAGGGAGAGGAAAAGGAATCTAAGCCCACAGGAGATGCCAGAAAACACAGAATAAGTCAGAGGTATAGAATGAAAGAAAGGTAAAAAAGCCACATGGTAGAACATACATTTAAAAATATGGGTTAAATTTAAGACATAAGCCTAAGCTGTAAGCAGAGCTTTCATAATTAATATGTCTCCATGTCATTATGTAGGAGTTGGCTGGCAGGACAGAAACAGACTCATTACATATCTGATCAAACTGTATGAAGATATCTCTGTTTTACCTCAACTGCCTAAGGCACCTTCTGATTGGTTTAATAAAGAGCTGCCAATAGCTAGGCAGTAGAAGACAGGCAGAACTTCTGGGGAGAGAGAGGAACTCAGGGGAAGAATCTGAGTGGTAGGTGGTTCACCAGCCAGACTCAGAGGAAGTTGGACATACAGTTCTAAGGGGAGTTAACAGCCATGTGGCAGAGCGTAGGTTAATATGTTGTGTAGCAATCTTTGTGCACTGTAAATATGTATTACTCTCATTGGCTAACAGAGAAGTGACTGGCCTAGAGCCGGGCAGGAGAATCAGACAAGAGAATTCTGAGAAGCAGCAGCACAGAGTTAGAAGAGTTGCCAGAAGACTCAGAGGGAACAAGACATGCTGGAGAACAGGTAAAGCCATGAGCCAATGGCAGCACATAGATTAATACAAATGTATTAATTTAAGTTGTAAGAGCTAGTTGGGAACAATCCAAAGCTAAGGCCAAGCTTTCATACCTAATAAGAAGTCTCTGCATCATTATTTGGGAACTGATGGTCCAAAGAAAAACCTCCTACATGCCTACATAAGATTATCGTTTTTAAAATGCCATATATGTGTAAAGCTGACAAGGATAAATTACTATGGCTGGTTTTAGTGTCAATTTACACAAATTAGAACCACCTGAGTAGGTAGCCTCACCTGAAGAACTGTCCTGACTGACATGGGAAGGCAGTCCTTATCATGGGTGGCACCTCCTGGTAGGAAGCAAGATTTAAAAAGGCAATGTAGCAGGCTTTCTTTTGGGTCAGCAACCAGCCCCCAAATCATAACACAGAGATGTATTATAAATGCTTAGTCTTAGCTTATGCTTGTCCCACCAGCTCTTAACCTGTTTCTCTTCATCTATGTTTTGTCTTGGGGCTTTTTTGGGAGGGGGGAGTTTTGAGACAGAATTTCCCTGTGTAACATCCTGGCTGTTCTGGGACTCACTTTGTAAATCAGGCTAACCTCAAACTCACTGAGATCCTCCTGCCTCTGCCTCCCAAGTGCTGGGATTAAAGGCTTGCGCCACCACTGCCCAGCTTGCCTCAGGGCTTTTTACCTTTCTTTCATTCTGTATGTCCTATCTGTGTCTGGCTGGCTGGCAACTGCCAGGCTAGCAGGCCCCAGGCACATCCCTTCCTTTCTCCCTTGTTCCTTCTGTCTTACTTATTCTCTCTGCCTGCCAATCCCACCTATCCCTCTACTACCTAGCTATTGGTTGTTCAGCTTTTTATCAGATCAATCAAGTGCCTTAGGCAGGCAAGGTAAAACAGCAACACATCTTTACATAGTTAAACAAATGCAGCATAAACAAATATAAAACACCTTTACATAGTTAAAGTAATATTCCACAACAAAGGCATTTTAGAAGTTGTTTCTCCTCTTTCTTGTCTTTTGTTCTTTGCCATTACCAATACCTATATACCTATACTACATCTTTGTGTGTGTGTGTGTGTGTGTGTGTGTGTGTGTGTGTGTACTCATCCCCTTGGTTCTGTTCCTCTTGAGAATCCTGACTAAAACAGTACTCTACCAACTGAATCACATCCCCAGCCCAGCGCACCCCTGCCCCCCTTTTTCTTCCAGAACACAATCACTGGGGAGGGGAGCAGGTGCCCGGTTTAATCTATATGAATCTTTACAGGCACTTTTCTTTTTACAAGTTTACAAAGGATCCTTGAGAACGTCAAAGTGGGGCTGGGGGGGGGGGAGGGGCGGGATAGCTCAGTCATTACAGGCTAGGCTCACAACCATAAATATAAGAGAAGTCAAAGTGATTTATTTCATTTCCCAAGTCTTGACTCAGTCGCTTCTTAGAGCTAAGTTCACACTCTGCTCCAGATGCAGGCAGCTGGCTATTGAGCTCACCCACACTCCTCAAAGATGTCTGGATAGTGCCGAAAAAGCACTGGTGGATCCCAGTCACCTCGGACAGGGGCCCCAGGCACGGCCCGGATCCCAGGCCTACGGCCACGGCGCCCCCCTGAGCAGGACCGGTGGATCCATTTGTGAGTCTCCACTGCGAACTTCCTCTTGAAACGCATGCCGCACTCTGGGCAGGGGAAGGGTCGCTCACCTGAGTGTGAAAGCCGGTGGTTGACTAGCAAAGACGGATAAGTGAAGCGCCGCCCACAGTCCACACACACGTGGCGTCGCTGGTTGGCCGGCACATCTGTGCTGGGAACCTGGGCAGGAAGCTGAGCATCAGATACCTGGCCTGGGGAAGATTTCGTAGGTAGCTGTGGCCCTGCAGAGGACTTGGTAGCCATGGAATGAGTCTCATGTCCAACCACCTGTTTAGATTGCAACTGAGCAGGAGTCTCTGCTGTCCTCTCAGGACCCTGCTCCTTCTCATTTGAAGTGTCTCCTGGGAAACAAATTAATTATGCTGTAAAATTCTCACTAGGAAATAGCTGTAATCCCAGCATTTGGAAAAGCTGAAGCAGGAAGATGGCTGTGAGTTTGAGACCATCAAGGCCTACAGAGTTTGACCTTGTCTCAGTAACCCAAAACAGGATAGTAAGATACGGTAGCTGCTCATCTTTAATCCTAGCACTTTGGATGTAGAAGCAGGTAGATTTATGTGAGTGTGAGGACAGCCCTATCTACACAGCAAGTTCCAGGCCAGCAAGAGCTACAAAACGTGAAACAAAGCTGAGGCTGAAGACATGTCTAAGTGCTTAAGATTGCTTGCTGCCTTTCCAAAGAACTGGAGTTCAGTTCTCAAAACCCACATCAACCAGCTCACAACCATTTGTAACTTCAGCACCAGGCAACCTCATGCCTCTGGCCTCCTCGGGCAGCTGTACTCATGTGCACAAAACCACATTCAGACACATACATTTACATGTAATGAAAAATAGTAAAAATCTTTAAGAAATAAGTTTCAAATAAAACGAAACACTTTTGCATAGATTACTCTAGCTTTTACCCAGGTAGTAATTAATATACTGCCCAGTGACTAACACAGAGGCTTTGTTGAAAGTCAAACAGTTAAAATTTCCTTCTTCATGTGTCAAATGGGAAAATAATGGTTTCTTGACTTCACAGGGTTATTGAGAGTATTTAATGCATACGTGCTTGTTGATAACTTAGTAAATGCTCAGGAAACAGTAGCTACTGTTGTATTTTGTGGTTTTTTGGGGGGGGTTATTTTTGTTGTTGTTGGTACAGTGGTACTTTTACAGATAAGGTATCATATTTACTTCAGATTTCTTCGATTCGGGGTAGCAATGGGAGAGGAGTCAAGCTGTCATTACACAGGCATTTTTCTCATGGAACACTTTGCCTTGAGAAATATGATAGGCAGACCTGAAACCTGTTCGATTTTTAGAGACATTTTGGGGAATGTGGGTGGGTGGGTACTGGGACAAGGTCTCACTATATGTAGCCTCAAGTCCACCTGCCTCTGCTGAGAGTGTTGGGATTAAAGATGTGTGCACCACAACCAGCCTTAGTCGGTTTTTAAAAAGGGGAAATGAGCAGTATTTAACCAACATCTGGAAACCTAAAAGTTCTTCGGGCTCTAGATTCTCCTACTCTGTTCTTAACAGGACTGCTCTTCGGAGTCCAAAACTCTTAACCGGTCGGCTCTTTCATTTAGTATCCGACACATGTTGACTCTTGAAATTCTGTAGGGATGCTGGAATGGGGAACCTGAAAGAGAACTTCACAAACGAGATGCAGGAGGACCTGGGACAATCCCTCACCTCTCAGAGCTCCTCCCAGACTTTCCCCCTCCGCAGGATCCTGGGCGGCGGGGCTCCAAGCCTCACTCTCCTGTTCCATCCAAGAGATGAGGGCTGGTTTGGGGCCCGGGAATCCTGAGAGAGAACAGGGGTCACAGTGCTGGTCTGAGCAACTGGCCCGGGCAGATAGCATCCCACTAGGGTGAGGGCACCTCCTCGGTAACCTATGCTCAAATCAACCAGAGCTGGGTTTGCGATGCTCTTGCCTGAATGGAGACTCCCGAGGAAGCCCTCGGAATGGAAAGTGACTGATGCTGTTGGTGAAAAAGTGAGCGATTAGGGCTCACAATCCACTTGGTCGGTCTACAGCATCTTCCCTGTGAGCCCCCGAGGAGGATGGGGGCGGGGGACAGGGCTCTGACCCGGGGCCTCACCGAGCGCGCCCAGGAGGCCGTAGGTCTCGCGCATCACCTCACGGTACAGGGCTCTCTGCGCGGGCCGCAGACAGCACCACTCATGCGGGGAGAAGTACACGGCCACGTCCGCGAAGCTCACGAGCTCAGGCTTCCTGAAACCAGGACAGATCTCCGCGGGCATCGGCACCAGCAGCGGGGCAGGGGGTGGCGCCATCGGAGCTCCAGCCAGGACAGCGGCTTGGCCGCCCAGCTTCCGGCTTCCAGCCTCGGCTTCCCTGGGAAGCCACGCCCTTGCCACGCCCCTTGATCACGATCGCCCCCAACGGGAGAGGAACAAAGTGGGCAGAGTGTGACCGCTGAGGACTGTAGGGCTTCGGTGGAGACTAGTTAAGCTCCATGGTTCACTCCACAGCCACTCGCACACAGACAGGACTCGGATGAAGGAACCCGAAAGATGCCTTCAGAAAACATGGCGACGGCCTGGCTTCAGTTGCCATTGACGGCACTAAGGCGCCATTTCTGCAGCTTGGCAAATACGGCGCCTTTCGGGCTTCCACTGCTCGCAGCTCCCCATTTGCCCTTAAATACAATGGCGGAGTCCGGAGGGTTGGTGTGCATTCGCAGGGGCAGATGATTGGCTGTAACTGAAAGGAGCAGCTGTGCTGCAATTGGCTCCGGAATGGCGGGACATCTAAAACGATTCTGAGTACCTGAGCATTCCTGGTGCCCGAGGTTGAGGTTGGATCTTCCCGGTGTCCCACGTACTTCCCGTTGATGGCAAAGCCTGGGTATTACATCTTAGAAACCAAGTTCGTGTCCACAGAGGAACCCGCTATGTAGATCAGACTGTATTTGAACTCACAGAGATCTGCCTGCCTCTCTGCTTCTGTTTCTGGAATTAAAGGAGTGTTCCACTACTCCTGGATGTAACAATTTTAGAATGTTGGTGTTTATGGAAAGGTAAATAAGTTTGTTTCATATGCTTAAATCTGTACACAATAAATTTGTGTTAAACTAAAAAAGTTAGAGAGTGGCTGAAGAAAGATACCACAATGTTCACCTCCAGCATCCACAGGCATATGTACACATGTGTAGCGCCACACATATACACACACACACACAAAAATAAGTTCTGGCGTTCTCTAGCACAGTTGATAATGATAGCTACCTTTTTTTTTCCTTCCACAAACAGGGTCTCACTATATAGCTCTAGAGCTGGCCTGGAACTTGCTATGTAAACTGGAGTGGCCTTATACTTACAGAGATCTACCTGCGTCAGCCTACTGAGTACTAAGATTAAAGACCATTATACTGTGCACTTAAAAAAAAAAAAAAAAGTGGAGTGGAGCTGAGTCTGGTGGCAAAGGACTTACTTGTTGTCGAGAGGATCCATCAGTTAAGCTAGACTCTGGAGAGAGGGGGCTAGGAAAGAAAGGAAGAGAAGGGGAAAGAAAGGGAAATCGGTGGGAGAGACAGGGTAGGTAGCTCAGTGATAGAGCACTTGCCTAGGCCCTGGGTTCAGTGCTCAGTGGCACCTAGCCACCCCAGAAAAAGTTACAGATTTTAGCAATGAGGAAGCCTCTAAGATCTGCCCTGCTGAGGACATCAAATCATGTGGACCTCTTCAGCCCTTCCTGAAGCCTTTGATTGAAGTGGTTTAGCAACCCTTCCAAATCACATGCATATATCTGTGTTTGTTGTAGAATGTTATTTTAACTGGGCAGAGATGTATTAAATTTGTTTATGCTGCAGGATATTAACTGTGTAAAGATGTGTTTCATTTGTGCTGCCTTTGTTTAACGGTGTATGGGTATATGTCTAATTATATAAAGATGTGTTGCATCTGTTTCACCTTGTCTGCCTAAGGCACCTGATTGGTCTAATGAAAACCTGAACAGCCAGTGAATAGGTGGGAGATGGATAGGCGGGGCTGGCAGGCAGAGTGGATAACTGGGAAAGAAAAGAGAGAGAACAAGAAAGGAAGAGGGACAAGCCTGGAGCAAGAAGCCAGGCAGCCCCCAGAAGCAGTGAGAGTAAGACGTACAAAAGGAAAGAAAGGCAAAGAGAAACAGGTTAACCTAAGTTAAAAGAGCTAGCCAGCAATGAGCCTATGCTAAGTGGAGCACTCACAAGGAATAGGAAGTCTCCATGTCATGATTTGGGAGCTGGTGGGTAGCCCAAAAGAAAAAGCCTGTACATGTGTGGTCATGCATAGATGGAGATAAGAGGACAACATGGAAGAAACAGTTCTCTCTACCTACCATGTGGGTTGCAGGGACCAGACTTAGATTATCAGGATTGGCAGCAAGTGTATTTACTAGCTAAACCATCTTGCTGGCCTCACATTCCCTCCTCCCCAGGTTTTTCAAGACAGGGTTTCTCTGTGTAGCTCTGGCTGTCCTGGAGCTCACTCTGTAAACCAGGCTGGCTTTGAACTCTCAGAGATCCACTTGCCTCTGCCTCCGAGTGCTGGGATCAAATGTCACCACCACCTGGCTCTAGTCTTATTTCTTAAACAAGATCTTCACTAAACCTGGAACAAACTGATACTGCTACACTGTCAGGCAACCCTAGAGAGGTTGCCTGTCTCTTCCCCCAGTGTTGAGGTTACACATATGCACTCTGCATCCACCTTTTATGTGGGTGATGGAAATTGGAGCTCAGGTCCTCATACTTACACAATGGTACTTAGTGACTGAACCATATTCCCAGCTCCTGCCCCAACTTACTTTGTGTGGTTACCTTTTCTTGAGGTTTATTTGTGTGTGTGTGTGTGTGTGTGTGTGTGTGTGTGTGTGTGTGTGTATGTCATCAGGCTTGTGTAGCAAGCACTTTCTTCTTCCCCTACATATTCATGCCATGGTGCACACATACACTAAATAAATAGATAAATTTAAGATTTTTACAAAAGCATAAGAAAGTTTGCCAGTTGAGCCCATTTTTTTAAAATTTAGATATATGTATGAGTGTTCTGCCTACATGTGTGTATGGGCAACATGTGTGTGCCTGGTACCCATTGAGGCCAGAAGAGGACTTTAGATTTCCAGGAATTGGTTTATGAGCTATCATCTGTGTTTGGAACCTAACCTGAGTACCCTGGAAAAGCAGCCAGCTCTCTTTACCTCTGAGTCTTCTTTCCAGCTCCTAATGTAGACATTTAGATGTTTATAATGCAATAACATTTTGTATTTGCACAATGCTGTGCAACTGTCATCACTATGTTTCTAAAATGCTTTCCTTAACCCCAAAAGAAACCTCTAATCTACTGTCGGTCTAAACTTGCTTGTGCTGTGAAGAGAATCATGATATATCTTTTCTTTTGTATCTGGCTTGTTTCACTTAAATGTCTTCGCAGTTCAGCCATGTTTAACATATATTACAATTGTACTCCTCTTTAGAAATATTGTATTAAGATATTGATGGGAAGGGCTAGATGGCTCAGCAGGTAAAAGAGCTTTTATGCAAGCCTGGTGACCTGATTTCAACCCATGGAACGCATGTAACAGTAGAAGGAGAAGCCAAATATGCATGATTTAATCCCAGCACTCTTGAGGTAGAGACAGGAAGATGTTTATGGGTTCAAGACCAGCTTGGCCTTAAATCTGAGTTTCAGGCCAGGCTACATAGTGAGACCTTGTCCCAACAACAACAAAAGATAGAGAGAACCAACCCCACAAAGTTGTTCTTTGACCTCCACACATGTCCCCAGACATACTGTGGACACACAACAAATAAAAATGGAAGGTATCAGGTCAGGACTTGGGATATAGCTCAACAGAGAACTTGCATACTAAACTCAAAGTATTGGTTCAGTCCCCAGCCCCACATAAATCGAGTGTGACACTCCTGTAACCAGAGCACCTAGAATGTGGAAGCAGGAGGATGAGGAGTTCAGGATAATCCTAAAGTTTGATCCCCAGCACCAACATGGCAGTTCACAGCCATCTGTAACTCCAGTTCCCTGAGATCCAACTCCCTCTTCCACCTCCAAGGGCACTGCACATACATGGTGCATTTACACACATGCAAGCAAGACACTCATACACAGGAGTGGAATCAGGGGTTTGTACAGGGCATGGAAGGAAGGGAGGAAGAGGGACCTTGGATTGTTATGTAAAATGAGATTTTTTTCATTTAAATAAAATTTTATTTAAAAAACACTCTTATGTATGTATATATATATATACATATACATATACATATATATATATAATTAACCTCTTTAAAAAGATGACATAAAGCTTCACTGTGGCACTGTAATTAGAGGGGATTAATAGAGGTCAAATGATCAATACAGCTTAGCTCAGGTCTGGGTCCCAGTTCCAGAATGCAAATTAAGATCTGACAGCATGCATGTGGTGGTACCTATATCCTAGAACCTAGGGAGATGAGGCAAGGAGGAGTTGAAAGCCAGCCTGGGCTACATAATGAGTTCAAGGCCACGTAGGCTACCATAGCAAACCCCCAACAAAAAACAGCAACAGCAAAAACAACCCAACACTTACCACCAAACCTGACAACATGAGTTTAATTTCTGGGATCCACATGATGAAGAGAGAGAATGGATTCTTATAAGTGTCCTCTGACTTCCATGTGTATGCCAAGGCATACACATAAATTATAGAAAGAAATTTAAAAGGAAAAAAAAAAGGAATGGACATACTTAGTATCTAGCAGAGTCTCTAACCTCTAGTAACCATTAGAGCTACTTCCATCTAAGAGACTATTAAGTCAAAAGCAATTATAGTACCCAACAGGAATTACAAAGATGAGTACCACCAAACACAGAACTGAGGGTGTGAATTTGGATCTGCTCCATTCATTATACCTTTCTTATCTGGCCTGCATGCAATCTGGAAAATTACTGGATTATTGTCATCTTTTTTAATATTTATTTTTATTTTATGTTTTGCATGTATGTATATCTATGCACCATGTAGGTGCAGTGCCCATGAAGACCAAAAGAGGGATCAGATTCCCCTGGAATTGAAATCACAGTAAGGGGCAATGTGGGTGCTGGGAATCCAAACCATAGTCTCTGAAAGAGCAGCCAGGGCTCTTAACTGCTGAACCATCTCTCTAACCCATGACTGACTTACTTGAAACTCCAAGCAAGTAACTCCAATGGCAGCTGCTGTGTCAAACATGGTTACACTACTTAGCAAATTCACACAGTTCTTGGTAATTGATTTTTTTTTCTCCATCTCTATTATGTTGATGAGATGCAGTCTGCTTTTAGTTGGCTGTTGTAGAATATTGTTTTAAGATGTGTTACATTTGTTTATGCTGTGGAGCATTT